ATATATTATTTTGCCATTTTATTTTATGTTTATCAGTGTTTCACCTGCGTGTATATCTGTGTACCGCACTCATGTCTGGTGGCCATGGAGGTCAGATCCCCTTGGAACTGGAGTTACAGATGGTTGTGAGCCACCACGTAGGTGTTGGGAATTGAGCACTTGTTGCTCTTGAAATCATCCAGCCAGGTTCAATTCTTCTGACTTTCAGACTAGATTTCATAGCGCATGTTATGCAATGTTGAGGCTCCCAATACAACATCAGATTGGAGGTCAGACTGCCTTTCAGAACCTCGAGGACCCATCTATGTTGGAGGAGAAAGGCTGTAGCCTGAGGGAAATAGCAACCAGGTCTCCGGACTAGAGCAGGTGACCTTGAGCCTCACACAGTGAGGCTGAGAGTGTGGTACGTGAGTATGGGGCTGCATGTTTGGCTTTTCAGGACATTACCCACTTTCCCCCCCAATACTGGCCATGTCATTTAGAATCATTGATTACAATAAACATGACTATTGCTATGAATAGTAATTTAGGGTTTCTGTGAACAAAAAAGCATGCAATTGTTTAAATTTTTAAACATTTATTTCCTTATTTAGTGTGCCCATGAAAGCCAGTACGTGTGTCTAGGGCGCAGTGTGGAGATGAGAAAATCTGTGGGAGTCTGTCCCATGAACCAAACTCAGGTCATTCTCCTTAGCACCAAGCCTTTTACTGGATGAGCCATCTTGCTAGCCCAAAACAAACTTTAAAATGTCTTAGAGTGGGGAAGAGTATGGTAAAATAAACCTCAAATGTGCTCCCCATGTCCCTCCACCCGCTTCCAACTCATCTGCCTCATCTGAGCTGATGAATTGTTACCTGGGCCCCTGGCCCAAGCACATGGTGTCTCATGCTGCCTGAGGCTCTGGTGGGAACCATGCAGTTTTCATGCATGAGTCACTGCGGCCCCCTCCCTCTGTGGTTCTTTGTGAGTTGTAGTGCTTCTCAGTTCCATCTATTGACCTATCATCCCTTGCCTTTACCAGCCTGGTGTGATCATTTGCTTTGAGTCTGTTCACCACATATCATTTCTTATCTTTTCACTTGGTGGATATTTTCTGAAAAGTCTTTTTATTTTCAACATTCCCGTGTTTTTTTAAAAGTGCCTCTGTGTTAGGCACATTTTCATCACTGTGACAAAAACCCCTGAGAGAACTGACTTGAAGGAGGAAAGATTTATTTGGGTTTAATCCCTGTTATTTGGTCCCAACTGATTACTGATCACCAAGGGGAACATCTTGCCTGGAGGCAGGGCAAGGGATCCATCTTAAGCTGGTATCTCAATTACCAGAAATATGACTTCGTAAACTGAGGTGACATTTTAATTGAAATGCAGTTTGTTCTTCTTGAAGGCAGAGTTTGCATTGATCCTGGAGAGAGGGTGTGACCTTTTCTTCCTCTTGTATGACAAGAAACCCATCCCCTTGTACCTATTCCCCTTTGCTATGGAAAACAATTGCCAAGAAGATGACTTTTAAAATTATTTATATATTGTTTGTTTGTAAGAGCATTCATGCATACTCTTTGTGTGTGTGTGTGTGTGTGTGTGTGTGTGTGTGTGTGTGTGTGTGTGTATGTATGTGTGAGTGGCACACATGTGGCTGTCACAGAACAACTGCGAGTCATTTTTCTCCCTCTACTGTGTGGGTTCCAGGGATTTGACTCAGTTCCTTGGGCTTGGCAACAAGCCCCTTTACCTATTACACCATCTTGACAACCTAAGAAACAGGACTTGTTAAAGATGCAATTGAAGCAAACTCCAAAGGAAGCAGTATACTTTGATTGGTATTCACTAGAGAGACTCAGTGGGACCTGCTTCACTGTCTCTGAATGTCAGAACAATATCAAAAAATTTTGTAAGCCATTTACAACTTCATTCTTATACTTATACAGCTTAGAAGTCTTACTCAACCCACAAACATATGGGATCTTCTTAGGGGACAAAGGCCATAGGTTGGTTGGAATCTCTTTGCAAATACAAACAAGCAGTCATTTTCTGTTTTATTTTGAAGTACTTTTTTGTATTGAGATAAAATGAACCATCCCTCAAAGGACTATAGCTCATGACCACTACAACCCCAGTGAGGAACAAAGAAAAGCTATTGAACAGCCAATCCTGACCAAGAATCACAGGAACTTGGGGAGGCCTGGCAAAAACAATCTGTAGCATCCAGAATCTGCAAAAACTGTATTTTTTTCTTCTTTCCCCTTCCTTTTCTTCCCATTACAATTGAGCACAATTTAGTGAGGGACTATTCATAAAGGTTGGGTGAAACTAAGAGCAGAAAACTGTTTAAAATGAAGGTGAAATCCCAAGAGAAAATGGCTGCAAGTTCTTTCTAGCCCAAGCCTGGGAAGGTCAAGGGATGACTTTTTGAAACTAGAGAAAAATGTAATGGCTGGTCTGCTTGATTATGGACATCAATGCCACTCACTGGGTCAGGGGCCTAGATTTTTGAGTGGGGAAGAACTTGTTTAGAAAAAGAAAAACATCAGAAATAAAACTCCTACATTTCTGCACACCCCTCCATGCCATCTAATCCCAAGCCTTGACCTTGAGTTATTTTTGCAACTCTATCTGCTTTCTCCATAAAGCATATCCACCTGAGTTACTGCCTAGCCTGTGTCAATGACCTTGAGCTACTTCATAGCTCTGCATCAATGTCTAGTCTTCAAATTCTCTTTTGAACCATTATGAGACCAGATTCCCTACTGATTCTGGGATAAAGTAAAAACCTTTAGCATATATTAATTTGATGCCTGGCAGAAGGCTCAGGATTTTACCCTGTTCAGAAAAAAAATGTATTTTAACAAAGTCCCTGCAGAAGCTCCATTTGTTTTTGAAACCTATAATATAAAGCACACCATATTTCATTAGCTCTCTCTCCCTTTCCCTCTTCTCTCCCTTTCCGGTTCCCCTTTCTTCTCCCTCCTATGAGACTTAGACTAAAAATGCCAACTTTATACCATCTCTGTACCCAGCCCTCAGTTTTTAAGGCCCTCTCTTTCCCTTAAGAATATTAACTCTCAAGGGAAGTCAGAAGTCGTCTTTCTCTTCCACAGGGATTCTGTCTCCTGGATGCTGGTAACAGATGTGCCTTTCTGTGCCACCAGCATCCAGGCTTAAACCCAAATAGATCTCTCTGAGTGAGTTCTGTTCAACAGTGAAGCATAGGACCCAACTCCCTGTCCAGTCAGAAACCTCATAAACAAGGGCAGTTCAGAGCAAGCAGCTCACTGATGACCTTGTTCACGATGCAATGGCACAGGGTAGACCTGGATTCAAATCCCAAGGGGCAAACCAACTGAGGATTTCCTACTCAAATGCAACACATAAATGGGAATTTGCCCCCCCCCGCCCCCGCCAGGCAGCACAGGCTTGAAGCAAGGGAGTGCCTTCTCTTCTTTTTCTTGAATACCCAAAGAAGGCTGGAGAAACCAAAGGTTTCCCACAAATTTAAAATTGTATCTCAAACTCTTCATAATGATCAAGGCTCTGAAAGATACAGTTTAAGCATTGACTTGTTTTGTTAATGGTTTTGACTATTGGGGTACATCAAAAGGCATCAAAGTGACTTGAGATCCATCATCCATTTTGTGCTCATAATTTCCATCCTCTTCCTCCCCAAATTCACATTCCCATTTTTTTCTACATGCCACACCTATTCTGTGTTTGAAATTCTTATTTACGGTATCCTTTTACATGTCTCTATTTAAAGGTCTTTCATTTTAAATTTTGCTTCATGGCTTGGAGAACTGTAAAACTCAACAGGTTAAAAATTATGTCTTCGGGCCTGGGTAATTATTAAACTTGTTATTAATATATAATTTATCAAAACAATTTGGCAAACTATCTCCAAAACTAAATGAGTAGGGCAGTGTCTCCCTTAGTTGGTGCTCTTGACAGTTAAATAGAGTCATATTAATAAAGCAGGAGACATTAGCAATCTTATACTTTTTTTGTTTTTTTTCTAAAAGTTGGGGAACATTCTCTCCTCCTTCCCTCCCCACCCTCTTAGAATAACATGAGTTGTATTACAGGATGGTCTTGACTCCTTGGACTCCTCAATGAGCTGGCAGCATGCATGCAGTTAAGAGAGTATGTTAAGAAGCACAAGTCAAAGTTAGATGTTTAGCACACCAGCTAAACCAGCCCTGGGGGGATTGAAGAGTTGGAGGCTAACCTGGGCTACATAGCAAGAACTGTCTCAAAACAAACAATATCAAAAAATAACAGACATGTGTGCTCTGTCAGTCTGAGTACAGAGAGCCCAGGTGTGAGCGGGGTGCTCTGTCAATCTGGGTAGAGACAGCCCATGTGTGCTGTCCATCTAGGTAGCAGATACATGAAGGTTTATTGTTTCTCCTCTGCCATACAGTTCACAAAACCATCTTTTAGCTATACATAGTACTTAGAATAAGAGACAAATGTCATTGAAACACACGGAAAACAAATTTATCTTTCAACCAAACTAAGAAATAAGGTTCCCAAGGTGTCTTCTCAAATGATTGTTTCACCCTATTTCCCACAGTGTTATTGTCAACGTGGACTCTGATTCCTTGCCAGTGATCCTATCTTCCTTCCAGACCCATCATACTCCGTAAGTATGCACTAATTCCCTCCTAAAGGCAAGGGCACTGGGGCAAGGGTGATCGTGCCACCCTAAACTGAAAGACAACATCTGATCATGCACACAGAGCCTGGTTGTTGTCACAGAGGAAGCCATTTGCACAGCCTGGCAAATGACAGGAATGGGAAGGGGTTTTCCTATTTCCATTCCCTTGGGAGTGGCATGGTTCACTGGCTCCTCTCCACATCTCTACCCCATAGTATACACAGCCCAGGCCACCCACCTTCTCTCTCACACTCTTTACATACATACCCACACTCCACATTAAGCTAGAAGTCCCTTTTAAGGCAAAAAAATAAAAAATAAAAAATAAAAAAAAGAGGCGCACCCCTCCAGAGTACTCAAACTTGGTTTTTATTAGCACAATTCTGCCCTAGGAGATAGAGATCACCAAAGGCACTCACTCTCCTTTTGGGTCCTGGTTGTACAGCTGACCCTACTGCTTCCAGATTAGATCTGATATCCTAAGGTACAGAGAGGCCCAGGGGAAGAAAGGCAAGAACTGAGAGTCCCTTTCTCCCCCAGATGGAAGAGGACACAACCCAATGACCCATGTATCATGAAGTAGTGGCAGAACCCTAAGCTTCCCTGGAGGCCCAGGTACTTGGAGTTCTCCCACAGACTGGATGCTGGATCACTGTTACCCCAAATAGTGGCCAATCCCTAGGCTGACCCGTAAACATTTTTGGTCAATGTTACACACACAATACAGTTAGATGCTTCATATTACTGGACTCTGTGAGCTTACGTTGCTGGAGTGCAGGGACAGATATGTGCACAAACAGTAAAGTGTGACCTGTGTCCTCCCTTCAGCTCTCCCTTCACCCTGTGTCACACCCCCATCCCGGCAAGAACTGGAGACCCTAGGGTGTGAGGGGCCATGGAGCCGCACAGCACGGCTAGGAGTGGACCGCTCTGTTAATGGGTCGTTTCTCTGTGAAGAAGCTTTTAAGCAATAGCACCTGACTGAAGCTGACCACAAACAGGGCAATAGTCTCTCCAACCGACCAGTAAGACACCCGACTATTAAGGTCTTCAGCTCGGGCTCGGTCCTGGGCCTCTCGAAGGCGATAATGTGTCTGGGAGTCGATCACAGTCTTCAGAGCTTCATGAATAGTTACGCAGGCGGATTCCATCTAGGCAGGAAGAGAAAAGCTGCTGTCAGTTGCTAACTCTAAGTCAGGCCAAGTGGAATCTAGCAGCCAAGGTTCACAGCAGCAACCTAGGCATCACCTACTGATGCCTCCTCGGGGACTGTGTTAAACACTTTATGTGGTTTCATAATGCTACAGAAAAGCCTAGTGGGAGCTCGGAGAGGGTAACTTATACAATAACACATGTTTAGTAAGCAACAGAATTAGCATCTGACCAAACTGTCTGTGTTTTCAGTCTATGTGTGCAAGCCCGATCCTGTTTCTCTTCTACAAGTCTCACAATGCCCTAAGCAGGCAAGATCACTGTCCTCACAGAAGGACAGCCAGATTGTAGTTTACTTATCCTTATTGGTGGGGACATTGAGGTTCAGAGAGGCTCCGTGAACTGCCTGAGGCATACAAGAGAATTAACAGCAGTGTGAACTAGACACAATTATGCCCGACTTGAATCCACTGCTTATTCTATTGTGTAACTGATGCTCACAGTTTCATGTGTAATCATAAACGTGTGAACACACAACCATGCATACACACACAAATGTGCTCACATGTAACATACCACTCCACAATTTCTTATGCCTGCTAAAATAGTTGGTCATAGGCAGGTCTCTGAAAATGTCTCAAACACCACCATCAGTCCTTGCTCCCCACCCAGGGTTTATGGCGAAGGGAGCTACCATTCTTGTGGTTACAGTTACTTGGCACAATCATACTTAAGACACGAAGGGAGATGATACTGCAGCTGGATCTACTCATATAAGCCCTTTCAGCAGATACTCACTCTCTCTAGCTGAAAGAAGACAACCCCTACAAAAATCAACAAAATGTCTCAAGGGGCTGTTGGCAATGAAACAGGGTCCCTAGCCATATGACTATATAGAACTGAATCTGGCCAACAACCTAGCTTACAGGAAAGCAGATGCTTTCTCTTCTAGGTAAGAGCCCAACTTGGTCAACAACTCCATTCAGCTCTGTGAGACTGAGCAGAGGACCATTGAGCATGCCCAGACTCTCAGCTCCCAGAGTTGTGAAGGAGAGATGGGTGCAGCATTCAGCCACTGTGCCTGTGGCCATGGACAACTAATGCATCAGGCCTGTTGAAGAGCATGTGTCCTAACTCCAGCAGTTGTGACATCCTGCACAAGATTGGGCCTGTCAACATTCTGTCACAGAGGGACTTACAAGTGCCAGTCTCTTACTGAGGATCTATAGGCAGTTAACTGTTGCTGTGAGAGGAACAGTCCACTGCATTCCAATAAATAACCTTTAACCCATACCATTGTTCAACTGTGTGTAACAACCCCACCTCCTTGTACGGCTGTATGTAACAATCCTATCTCTCTGTTCAACTAGATCCACTAACTGGGAATTAATTCCTCTGACCCTTGGCCGTAGCCTGACACCTCAGAACAGGTCCACCATGTCTCCACATGGCTACACCAGAGACCAAGCCTCCAGCACATTTACCTCTGGGAAGCAAAAGTCATATCCAAACCACAGCACACGATTAGGGCACATGACACGAGCCCTCCCCAAAGCAATATGTCACCAATAGTGACACACATTCAAGAGCACTTCCTTACTTTATAAACACATGCTAGTTCCCCATCTACTGGGGTCTCCCATCAGTGCTAGCCTACCAGAAAGCTCTTCAGCTTGTTACCACATAATTTCAGTTAGTTGATAGCCTACCTTACTTCAGGGGATGTGGGAATGCAGGCACTGGCTAAAAGGGGAACCATATGATACCGAGTGAAAGCAGGCTGGTAAAAGAGGAACTTCACAAACTCTACCTGCCCTCCTCCTTGCAACACGATCACACTGGAACCCAGGCTCCAGGAAAGGCGTTCTCTGTTGCCCTAACTCATTAACTGCTGCTCTCTCTTTTCTCCCACTGGTGCGCAAGGGAGCCCTTAAACTTGGGCTTATGGAACCTTCCAGTTTCATCAGTGACCAACGGAACAATCTATACCTTCGGCTGGAGCTTCTAACTTTTATTTAAACAGCAAAATGTGCATAGTGGCTACTGTTCTAACCTCTAACTGTCCTGAGATGGTAAAAGTCTGGACATGAGCCAAAGAGAAATAAAACATAAGGTCTCCTCAGAGAGCAAACAGGGAAATGTTGGCCTCCTTAGAGACTTGAGCCATTCTGGCTTTGGTCCTAGAATAAGTGTTGCCACAGATAGTTATTCCTGTCTTACAGGTTCCCCAGGTGATCAGTCATAAAACAAATATTTGGTGAACTCCTTTGGTGAGCTCCTTTGGGTGCAATACTTCCTACACTGAAGTATTGAGACAAAAAAAAAAAAAGGCAACTAGATACCAAAGTTCTGGCCCTCAGGAAGCCCAGCCTATATGTGGGAGGATGGAGGAGCTTAAACAGAAGGAGGGAGAACTCCGGATGGAGGCTGGGGTTAGTCAACAATCTTGAGAGCCACGGGGGTCAATGGAAACTACCCATCCTCCAAAAATTCGATGGTGGCGATTTGCTGTCCAGAGACAGTACTCGGTAGCCATCCTCTCATCCTGACTTGCTACACAAGTACTCACCCTAAAGATACTTGACTGGAAATTATGTGTGTGACCATAGGCCAGGGCTTTGAAGGGACAGCTGTGCCATTCTCATTTCTCCTTCTTTTGGTATCCAAAGGAGAGAACTCTGGAGCCCGAGGGAAGGGAAAAGTGGTAAGAAAGAGCCTTGGGGCTGGGACATAGCTCTATGGTAGAGCATGTGCTTAGCACGCACAAGGCCCTGAGTTCCGCAAAATAAATAAATAAAAAGTAAGGAACGGAAAGAGGAAGAGAGGGAGAGATGAAAAGAGAGGGGGAAGAGAGGGGAGGAAAGAAAAAGAAAGACATGAAGAAGAAATGAGAATAAGAATTAAAGGAGCCTGGATTCCCAAGTCACCCACCAGCCTCTACCAGGCCATCCTGAGAACAGTGTGTCAGGCACTGACAGATGGATTTGTTGTGGCAGGTTGAGTTGCGCTCACCAACACACTACTGAAGCAGGACTCTGGTCCTCACAATCTGAGCAGATCACATAGCAGAGAGGTACATGAAGTAATTCGAAAGAGGTGCTGTTCCAGAGAAAGACAGTTGGAAGTAAAAGAGGAGAAGCATCAGTTATGAGAGGGCCCTGCCTAAAAAACGGGACCAGAAGGGGAAAGGAAACTTTTAGCTCTAGATGGTGATTCTTGCTCATCACCTAAGACAAGGACAGAAAATCAGGAACATGCTGAGAGCAGGAAGGGTCCCACTGGTCCTGTCACTGTCACGTCTACTCACCTGAGTAAGAGCTGTGACCCTATTCCCCATGTCTGGGAGAATGGGGGGCTCGTCACCCACTTGGAAGTCAAAGTAGACGGTCTTATGAGAAAAGGTGGAAAATTCATTACTGAAGCAAAACTGATAAACGCCCTTGACCATCGTCTTGTACGTGAAGCTGTCATACTGCTTCTTGGTCTCCCGGTAGACGATGTTCCCCAAGGGGTCCTCCACATAGCAGTCCACATCGTAGTGGCCTCCAGTGATAACCTGACAACCACAGAAAGTATGCTGTTACTGGGGGCAACCAGTGCCTTGAAATGCTGATCCTAACAGTGACTACTGTAAAGCATTTCATAATTTACCCTTCACCACTTTCCACTCCAAATGGAGGAGTTAAAGAAGTGGCCACTGTACTCAGCATTCTTTATGACAAAATACTTGACAGAAGCAATTTAAGGAAGGAAGGATTTACTTTAGCTCACAAATAAACTTGAAGGCACAGCTCATTACGGAGGGGATGCCATGGTACCAGGAGCATGAGGCGGCCGGTCATATGGCATCCAGAGTCAGAAAGCAGAGAGAGATGAACACTGATGTTCAGCTGGCTTTCTCCCCCCTATTCCCAGTCCAGGGAATGATTGATGGTACCCAAACTTAAGAGTAGTTCTTCATTTCAATCTAATCTAGAAACTCCTTCTCAGTCATGCCCAGATTATAGACGCGCGCCCCTGCCCCCACTGATGGTAAATGCCTACCCTGATGGCTTGTGGAGCCTCACTGGCCACATCGTTAAGAACGAAGGCTGTTCTTGGTCTTAAACTGTTTGTCTATGCAGAAACTGCCTATGCAGGCGCATGCACACACTTTGCACATTGTCCACAGAGGTGAGAGTGGTCTCATCAGTGACTCCATCATACATGAAGTTGTCTTCGAATAGAAGCATCCTCCGGAGCTGCTCAATGTGCACCATTTGGGCTGCCCGTGTCTCCTCATTTCTAGAAATCTCTCCCCAACGTTTTCACTCACCCCCTCCAACCCTGACACTAGACCTGCTCACTAAATCTAGGAAGCAGACCCTTTCTTCACCAAAGCAACTGACAGCTATTAGATATGTCCCTGGAGACAACAGCGCGGGAGGACCTGACTTTGCTGAGCCATATGGTAAGAGGCAAGCCGAGTAACCACAAGGGGGGTTAGGGGGTGGGGGTTGCTCCTTGTGAACACTGCCAGGACTCAAAGTCTGGACTGAACGCTCCTTTCCAAAAACCCTTAATCACTCCTGCTAGCTCACCCCAACGCCAACTGTAAAAGATGCCCTGGCTTCAGCACCTGCAAGAAACGCAGTCCAAGGGACAGTCCAGACAGACTGCCAGCCTGTGTCAACTAATTAATACTGGGGGTTTTTAAGATCGAGGGTACCTGAGGAGGTCATCCTGGTCAATTCTGCAGGACACGGGGGACGGGAGGCAGGGGGAGGCGCCGGGCCCCCCCATCCTCAGCGCACACCTGTAGCCTGCCTAACTCCCCAGCCACCCTGGCCCACTTCGGGGGGGCGATATAAACGTTTCTTTTCAGGGAGACGTCAACAGGTCTGGGGTTATCTCCAACCCCCACAGCCTCTGGTGGCTAATCTTAGCCTCTCCGGATGGGGGCGCGCTGGTGTCTGGGCGAGACGCGGCTAGGGCTGCACCTGGTAATCCAGAGAGAACTTCACGCCCTGCTCCACCTCTTCGTGGAAACACTGCTTGGCGTTGTCCGGCAGCTCGAAGGTGAGCTCGGCGCCCCGCAGTCGCTCGGCCCGGAGCAGGAGCAGAAGCAGAAGCAGCAGCACCTGGAAGGAGGAAGCGCGAGAGGCCTCGCTGCCCATGATGCTCTGGGCCCGGTTCGCTGAGCAGAGGCTCGGACGCAGGGACTGAGGAGACCTGGGAGGGGCCCCCTGGGAAGACGTGGCGCGAACTCAGCACAGCGCTTCCGGGACGGCTGCGAATCAGTGCGCAGCCGCACACCGGAGAAGCGGGCCGCCCGCTGCGCCTGCGCAGCACTGCTTTTAGGAGCGGTTGTCCGCCGCGGGTCCGGGAACCCGGATTTCTCTGTGCGTTGCTCCAGTTCTTGTAGTCAGAAACATTTGGGCGTCTACTCTGCTTGTGACTTGCTGTCACTAGTCTCCCAAGTCTTCCGAGAAATCTGGGATGTAAGGAGCAAGGATGGAGGGATAGCCGAAAAAGAAGGAGACGCAAGGAGGGCAAGTTTTCAACAAACTAAACCCCGAAGGTTACGCTTGACCGGGGGGAAAGCAGGCTCTCTCTCATACGCAAACTCTCTTCGGAAAATAAAAGTTTCTTAAAGATTTCAGTTATGCTTTGGCATTCGGGGTTCATTGAAAATTATTTTGGGGAGACTCTGTCATCATCCCCTTTGACTTCTCAAAAGTGTTGAAAGACTAATCGATTTACTGTCTTATTCCTGACTACTTGCCTAAGAATATATACGTGTGTGATGTGTGTGTGTGTGTGTGTGTGTGTGTGTGTGTGTTTGTGTGTGATTTACAGAGTCCTACAGGATTCTTATGCTCACCGTAGACTTATAAACAAAGAAAATATGTGTTATGTTATTTGCTGCTAGATAAAATTTTATTTCAATGGAAAATTATTAGATGTGGTGACTACTGATTTTAGCAAAGAGTTTCACTGCTCATGTATACCACCACATGGATAAGATTGGCATGCACTGCCACTGCCCATATTGGACCATGTATGAAGAAAGTAATCTGTAAGTTGCGAAACAACATCACCCATAATATAATTATTAATGTGTACTGACCCTGTGCTAGACGTGAAAGAGGTGTTGAATGGTGGGCTTCAGGGCTCCTTCTCTGCCTGTCCTACTTACCATTCTTTTAACTTTTTAGTTATATGTGTGTGCATGTCTGCATGTGAGTACAGGTGCCTGAGGAGGCCAGAGGCTTTGAATCCCCTGGAGCTGGAATTACAGGCAGTTGTCATTCATCTGCTGAGGGTTCTGGGAACCAAATGGGGTCCTCTGGAAGTGCTCTTAACCATTGAGCCACCTCACCAGCTCTTATTATTTTTAATGAAGAATATTTGAAGACTTGAAACGTAAAATTATCTAACTAGAAGAATCAAGTGAAGACAATACAACAGAAGTTCCCACAGGTTAAATATGAAATGCTACACTTAGGTTCTAAGAAGAAAACCTCCATAAATTCAGAGGAGAAGGCCTGATTTCATGGCTGTTTAAGTTGGAGCAAGCAGAATTACAATCAACATCAAACTGTGTGTAAGACAAGATACATCCCTGGGTTTTTAAAAAGTAAATATTGCCTGGGAAACGGGCAATGATCAGGTGGCATCTACTGTACTATTTCAGGAAAAATATTAACAAAGTTGGGAGACGGGTCAAAGGAAGGTGAGTAGGAGGGGGCAGCATAACTGCTGTCAGGGAACTGCCTCAAACAAGGGAATGCCCAAGAAAGGAAGACTTAGTTAGCATGGAACATTAAAACCGATAGGGAATGTTAGCTTTAAAAGTTTACACAGCAGCAACCATTTATTTAGTACTAACAATGTACCTGTCACAGTGTCACCTAGCTATCCAGCTCAGCATAGTTTATATTAATTAATCCTCACTAGTGCTGTGTATTTTTTTTAGAAAAAAACATATTTGTTCCTATTTGACAAGGAAGAAACAGGAGCTCATGATTTTAATTCAGTAACACTTGTCTTTGTTCACTTTTTCTATGTGTAAGCATCTCAGACTCACACTGATTTATAATCTCCATGATTCTATAGGTCAGTTGGGCAGTGAGGCTTTGGGCAGTCTTCCCTAAGCTTTCCCATGAAGCTACATTCATCTAGAGATCATCTGCACTGGGCATTACAAGATGACCCCACTGGAATGTCTGGGGACAGGTGCAGGTTATTGGCTGCAATACTTGTCTCCCTTCCAAGCATCCTCTACCAGCAGGTGAGGCTAGTTTTCTTATGTGACATGCTCAGGGAAGTATCCCAAGATAACCCAGAGGAAGATAGTGAGGCTCTCTAAGAGCTAGGCTCCAGAATTCTTCCAACATCATCTTCTATATAGTTTATAGGCCAATCAAGCCTAAAGCTGACCTTATACAAGAAGAGGTGTATACCTCTAAGGTGAGAAGTGGTCAAACCTGGTTGTAAACGGGGAGCCTTTTGGAATAGGAGGCATTTGTGACTGCTAAACAATCTGCTAGAGTACTCCATTTTACCTACCTCATCAACAGCTGAGCCAGAAGATGACCTCAAATCTGCACAATACTGGAGGCTCTGTGTTACACGACAAGCCCCTGTTCATCCCATGGGATTGATTGTTATTTCTCCATGTTCCATATGGCAAAACTGGGTGCTAAACATTAATGATACTAAGGTGTATCCCAGCTAAACATAAAAATATCTTTCTGGAACTGAAATAACTTTCTGTAATTTTTCAGGGAGAAAATGAATGGGCAGCACAATTTCCACCCCTGCATATACTGGAGCAGAGATAGGTGAACAGCCATATACTGGATGCCATAGAGATTTGTGAGCTAAATTAGATATGTGATAGAATGTTGGGCAATGTATGAAGTGCCTTTGAAATTTTATATTCCAACATATGTGGTAGAAAGTCCTAAAACCAAGAAAATCTGAAAGAAAACTAAAGCAGTGTCTGTCTGCCCTATTCCTGAGGTGACTTGTGAAATCCTTTTTAAAAATTATTATCATAAATCCAAAAAAGAATATGACAAAATTTAATAGCTGCTCATGATACAAACTCTTAGGGACCAAAGAATAATAGATAACTTCCCTGTTGCCATTAACATCTGTTAAAACTGAACCAAACTTTGCAGTTCATGATAAACACTTAAATATTTCTCTTTGGAGCTGGAGAGATGGCTGTGTGCCTGAATTCTTGTTCACAAGCACGACGTCCTGATTTCAGATCTCAGCACCCACATAAAGAAATCTGGATATGGCTATGTGCGTGACTGTAACACTAGCACTGTGTAGAGCAGACAAGAGAAACTATAGGGTTTACTGGCCGCCACCCCAGCTCCAGGGTCAATGAAAGAGCCTGTCTCAAAGGAATAAGATTGACAGAGACAGATCAGGACACCAGTGTTCTCTTGTGGCATTCACCCACCCACCTGATGTGAGCACCTGATGCATCACACACACACACACACACACACACACACACACACACACCTTCCCTTGAAGTTGGAGTTAAAATATAAAAGCCTACTATTACAATTGCAATTCACATTGAATTTCAAGCAAAAAGATAAGGCAATGGGAAGAAAGAAGGGAATAACTATTAGAAGGATAAAAGGCAGAATTGGAGTTCCACAAAGTGGGAGGAGTTAGAAAGTTAAGGATGTTCCTCAAGAGTTCCTCAGGGATTCACACTATGAACTTTTGTTCATTCACTCGTTTGTGTTCTATAATGTCTCTGTGTGTATGATCTCATAGTTCCAAAAGGTCAAAAGGCGAATAAGTGCACTAAGGAGAAATGAGCTACACAAGAGGACCTATCTGTGCCATTTTATCCTTATCCCACACAACAGGAGCACTCTCCAGCATGCTGCTAAGATTTTGAAATCAAATCAGCATTTATCCATACAGGCAACTCATGAAAAAAAATATGGATGGAACTGAAAAACATTATATTAAATGAGGTGATCCATGCTCAGAAAGCAAGCACTGCAGGTTAGATCTCAAATGCAGATCCCAGTTTCTAATTTTTACATATGTGTAGTTACATGGAAATTAGTGTGGAAAGGGACCCAAGTGTAGGGAGACACCCTAGTCCCGCCCAATAGTCATGGGACAGGTACCAAGTGGACCCAGGACTCGCCCATAAGGGCGTGGTGAAGGAAAGCCGGTGTGACGTAATGGAGCTTCTTAAGGGCTGCACCGGAAGACCCTAGCCCTTTTTCTGGCCGCGCTTGCTGGGTTCCTGTAACCTCGCTCTGGCCTGCGTCTTGCCCTGGTGTTTTCTTGAATAAAGAGACTTTATTCATCACCCAAGAGATGGGAGGAAGAGGCTTTGAGAGAGGGTGGGGGTAATGGAACCCATGTGATACGAAAGTGGAAAGAGGGATACTGAAGGTGGAAGGGTTTAAGCATGAATAGGGGATAAGAAGATGGGGAAGAGAAAAGCATGGAGAAGAAGGAGCAACAAAATAGTATGACAATACAGCAAGAATACCTGATGCTTTATATATTAGGACCTGAAAGATTAAGCAACATCAAACAAGTCACCCAATAGTTCAAACATGGTGTCTACTGCACCACACAGTTCCAAAGTCTCCATGAACCCTCACGGTCCACCTAGGTCACTTCCACCCTGCAGTGGTTCTTTGCTCACTTGGTGATGTTCTTATAGATTCTAGGAAAAACACATGGCAGATTTTTTTTATATTGATTTGTTGTTACAATTGAAGTTTTCTGTTTTCCCCACACAAACGACCAGTGAAGCTCAGTATTTAGCTGAGAGATTCTATCTTAACAGTATGTGTCCTGAATCGCAGGGGGAAAGTACACTCAACTGCTTGATGACATTTCACTTGTCACTTGTGAAGGGTTCACAGAAACCTAGGCTTTAAAAAGTCATAAAATTTATTCTCCAAATCACAATATGGAGAATTGTTGGGATCCTCCAACTTCTGTTTGGATAACTCACTCAGTTTTACATTTTATCCCTGTCAAAGTGGGTAGCTAAAACCCTACACTAGAAGCTGAAGGAGGGGACAAATGAGTTGGTTCCTAAGGTTTGCTTTTTTTAAAATCAAAATACTTTGAATTTTCTCACTCAGACAGCATTTTCTTCTCAGAGAGGGGGAAAGAAATAAGGAAGGGAGGGAGGGTAAGAGAGAGAGTGTGAGCGAGAGAGAGAGTCCAATCTGTATGTATTGGTCAGGATAGAAAATGCTATAAT